AAATGGACAAAGTATACATTCACATTTTGTAAAATAACGAAATCGACAATAACGCAAAAACAGATTTCGTTGAAAATCTAAAAAAATGTAGAGGTGGTCGTTTGGTCACATCTCCCATACGACATCGTAATCTACCCTGGAAGGTAGCCATACGTCACAGATGAGAGTCGTATATATATCTTACCTGTCCTTTCCATCCATCCGGTATTTTAAGGCATATGTTGTAATCGAACTCGTCGGCCTCGCGGACTTTGAGGTTTTCATGCGAGCTGCCAACACCAAGCTTACGATCGAAGCTTGCATGAAACGTGACGTCTTTCTGCATATGATCGATAACTTTATCGACAATGTCACAGACTGTCTTCTTGTTCCTTTCCATTTCATCACATGACACCTTGACGTGGTCTTGTGTTATTCGGTTCAACTTATAACACAACTCAGTCGTTTCTGCCGCATATGACGCCATGGTATAATTTCGGTGCAATCAGTCTGAAGAACTGAGACTTATATCATGTAAGATCACGTGACACGTCAGCGTAACTAAACATCAGCATTTCCGCGAACAGGTGACACAGTTTGCTAATACGGGATGGGCAGGGTTATCTGGGAAGAGCTATGTATCTAACAACAACAATCTCTATGTGTCATGTAATAAATTCAACAGATACCTTGTTTGCAAGATATCCGGGTCAGAAGTTTCCGAATACCCGAATATCGCCGTAGTTTGTTAGTGAGTGAGTTTCAACTCGAATCACTGAATGGCATGCGAAATTTTATAATGGACGAGCTGAAGATGACCAAAATGCAAAATTTGATTTGAAGCATAGTAAGAGTGGTATTATGCATTACGGCTTTGTAATATGTTTCGTGTACAGCCGTCGAATATCGATTATCCTATGCTGCTATGTTAGCTACGCCCCGAGGCAGAAATAATATTGCATGACGGGATTTATTATAATAGTGAAGACACGAATTAACTGCGACGTGGCGTAACGGGGAGCGCGTCTGACGTGTAACTGACGTCACCATTTCTAGAAACGCGTGACGCTGTGTGTATATCAAGGGACGGGTCGCCCGGACGGGTCGTTTTATGTCGTGAGACAGCAAAATTAACATTGCACATTTGTCTGTCTCCTCTCACCTTAATGATTATTATTTTATTTTATTTGTTATTTGGTTTATTATTACTTTTCACTTTAAACAAACTACCGGTGATTAAGTTATAAGAATAAATTACAAGAACAAAATATTACATACTGTTAGTGGATTAAAATATGAAAACAACAATCTTATCTAAAGGTGGCATTAAAATTATCGATTCTTTTTCTTCGATTATTATTTAAAAATTTTTGGATCAATTTTCGGGGTCGTTTTGCGAAAAACCTAGTTCGGCGCCAAGGTGACAATATATTTTTATTTCGTAATTTTGAATTACAGTATTAACCTAACACCTCTTGCTGCTTTTCTAGGATTTCTGAGTATTTTTTAATGGTAGCGAACTACCTTGAATATAATGTTCTATTCTATTCTATTCTATTACATTCTATCATGACATTCCTGATTGTGTGACATACATTATGTTAATACAAATAATATCCCAAACTAATGCTAAAGAAAAGAAAAACATATAGATGATAAATGAATATTTTTGTACAAAAATCAGAAGATGTTTATATAAGCTACATTTGGCAACGCCCATTACCCATGAGTATTTGCAGGTTTGAAATTTATAAAACATTATAAAACGAGTGTTTTCTTTCCGTTTGACTTTGCTCTAACAATGAGAACAAATCAAATGTCCATATTTCTCACGTGTATTTTGTGTCACAAATTAACCAGTAACATGGCGTGACAGACACAAGTAAACAATAAACGTCACTATTTCCTGCTACGCATGACCGTTCCACCATACGCCAATATAACCTGAAATGACGTGTCATAAACAGAATGACGTCATCATCCTTAGTAAAATATGACGAAGTACATAATAAGTAGGCGTCGTTGGTATACCTTCAGAAGCCTATCGCAGTGCCTCTTAATTCTCATTTCATGAACTTTGATACCAGAAAAAAAAATGAACTGATGCTCCTATCAAATATCAACACACATGAGTTGAACCGCAGTCTCTATGAGTCCCTGGTCTGGAAACGAAATGTAGTATATTGTACCAATGCCCGTAGAATGATGGTGAATCAACTGTAACGTACAGATTTTATTATCAGTGCGCATGCGTTTGTGTCAGCCAAATTAAAAACCATGCAATGCAAAAGTTATTTGGGGATTTTATCGATTTAGTAATCTATTAAAATACATTCAATTAAACTACCTTACCAATGGGTTGTTCTAGCAACAAAACAAATATAGTATGACCTAGTTACGCCATTCAATCGTAATTTGGGCAATAACTTTCTCTACACTTATGCGGTCGTTGCGGAGGCTGTGATGGACAACTTACAAAATGAAAAGCAAAAGATCTTCTTTGTTAGCACAATCAACTTTATTCCTTGAAGTATAATATCAATATAAACATAAATATTGGAAAAATCTCTCTAATAAACAATATGCAAGACAAAATCATTCTGCCTACAATACATCCATCTTTAAGACATGGTTATTTTGATTTTATGATTTTTATGATTTTGATTTTTGAAACCAACTACTAGTATCTTAAAAAACGATATATTCTACTACCCACCAATTTTTAATACACTGTAAATTTTCCAAAATGTAAAATGTGCCGTTGTTTTAAAAGTTTCACAAAGAATAACTAGGACGGAAACATTGGGTAAGTTCATATGTCGGCGACATGAACGTCAGGGAGAAACATCACGCACAGTAACTATATGTAATATCAACATGTGAAATAATCGAAACGTCTTTGTAAAATAGGTTGCATTCGTAAAAAAAACATTAACATTTCGACCAAACCACTGTGACCGTATCACCCACAAAGTCACTGTGCTTCGCGGATTGCCATTACGAGAGTTGTCCCACTATAAATGCAGCTGGTTGACAGCGTTTCCAGACCGAGGATTAAGGGACTATGGTTGAATTTATATATGCTTAACATCCACACGATTTCAACGTAATTGTGAAAAAAACCAGATTTCGTCATTTTACATATATGGTTAGCAAAACTAACAATAGGTTTGCAAAGATTGATGTATAAAAATCAAAACACGCCTACCTAAAACGTAGATACCACCCCTGCTGCCATGTGATTAAAGTAAGATCTAGTGACTTTGGACTTTATTTATTTTTAATATGTATTTAATTAATTATTTTTATATATTTTATTATTTATTTTGCTAGTAGTTTGAATGAGAGTTACTCAGATATATAACATATATATATGCTCACAATAAAACAAAATGATAAAAAGAGTAGTAAACTTGAAAGGAAAGTGAAAAAAGAAAATTTACCCGAAGCCAAAACAATATATATTATTTTGATTCGATTTGAACTACTCATTACTACTGTAAATTTGTGCAATCAAATGTCTATTAACTCATTTGACGAGAGTCTATGTAAGCAGCAACTTTACTCTGATACTTTCAAGGCAGCCAGTTGGATCTCTAAGATTCCAGCAGTTACGTCAAGGGCAAATATTCCACGATTTTTTCGGAATCTCTTTCAATTGTATCAGCAATTCTTTTCACACGACCAGCTAAATCATTGGCTGTAAAAGCAGAAAGATCAGCGAACATGTTCATTTTGGGAAAGAACACATTCTGGAGCTTCCGTTCCCGCAAACATTTCTGTAACGCGCGAAGACATCCAATGAAACGTACATCGACCTTTCCAGCTGACCAATCACCATGCCGACAAGACTCTGACATCATCAGATGTTTTAGGTGATATGATTTAATTGCTAACCAGTTAGAACCTTCGACTTCTCGGAGTAACTTTAATAATCGCAAAACTTGTTTGCGACACCCCCCTCTGCTGTCACCTCCACTGTATTTGTCAATCGAACTAAGGACATACTTTTCAACAGGGGAGGTTGATATACGCCACCAAAGGCCGTTTCCACCCGAGGACGCACCCGTGTACTGCTTTGTACTGATCTGCCACATACCGCTCTGCCGCATAACGTCGTGTATTTGTCTCATCATATCTCTG